TTTCTTTCACAGCCCTTCAGTTAAGAACACACAATCCAGAGCCATAGAAAATGATGGTAAGTAGGAATTAAATCCTTTCCTTGAAAATAATACACACAGTGCCACCTACGGGCACAGCTGACCTCTGCAGCTCAACCATCCGTATACTTAGTAATAAATTGGCCTGTTCCTGTGTAGATAATGAAAGCAGCACAGAAGCCGTGTGTGTGTGCATGCATACATTATGTGCTGTAAAGTTGCCTCCAACTTATGGTGACCATATGAATTAATGATCTCCAAAACATCCTATTATTAAGAGCCTTGCTCAGATCTTGCAAACTGAAGGCCATGGCTTCCTTGATTGAGTCAATCCATCTCATTTATGGTTTTCTTGTTTTCCTGCTGCCTTCAACTTTTCCTAGCATTATTGTCTTTTCCAGTGAATACGACTTCACAGAATGTGAATTCTCATAATGTGACCAAAGTACGATAGTTTCAGTTTGGTCATTTTAGCTTCTTTGGAGAGTTCAGACTTGATTTGATCTAGGACCTGTTTATTTGTCTTTTTTGTGATCCATGATATCTGCAAAACTGTCCTCCAACACCACATTTCAAATGAATCAACTTTCTTTTTTAGACTCCTTCATTGTCTAACTTTCATACCCATACATGGTAATGGGGAATACTATGGTACGAATTATCTTGATCTTGGTCACAGTTACACATCCTTACACTTAAGGATCTTTTCTAGTTCCTTCATGGCTGCTCTTTCCAGTCTCAATCTCCTTCTGATTTTTTGGTTGCAGTCTCCTTTTTGGTTGATGATAGAGCCAAGGAACAGACAATCTTTAACAGTTTCAATTTGTTCACTGTGAGCCTTAAAGTTGTGTAATTCCTCAGTAGTCATTATTTTTGTCTTCTTGATGGTCAGCTGCAATGCCGCTTTGGCACTTTCAGTTTTAACCTTCCTCAGTAGTCATTTAAATTCTCACTATTTTCTGCCACTAATGTGGTGTCCTCTGCATATCTTGAATTGTTATTGTTCCACCAATTTTCACTCCACCTCTATCTAAATCTAACCCGGATTTCCTTATTAAATGTTTTGCATATAGATTGAACAGATAGGGAGATAAAATACATCCTTGACTGACACCTTTGTTAATTGGAAGCCATTCTGTTTCTTCATGTTGTGTCCTAATGCTAGCCTCTTATACAAAGTAGAGGTTGTGCATTAAAGCAATGAGATGTTGTGGCACACTCATTTATTTTAAAACCAATCATAACTTTTCATGATCCACATAGTCAAAAGCTTTGCTATAATCTATGAAACACAAGCTGATTTTGTTCTGAAGTTCTCTCATATGTTCCAGTTACCAATCTAACTTTGCAAAATGATCTCTAGTGGCTCTTCCTTTTCTGAAACTAGCTTGAACTTCCGGCATTTCTTGTTCCATATATTGTAAAAGTGCTTACATAAGAAATTAATGTGATTGTCTGATAGTTGCTGCAGTCTTTGATGTCTCCTTTTTCATCATGCCATCCACACCATGCCATCCAAGATGGCGACCGGCTGTGAGGCTCGGGTGCTGAGCTCCCCTGTGGTAATGTAGTTTTCAGTTGATTTTAGGGGGTTCAGTTAGTTCCAGCAGGCAAGTGCAATCGAGAACAGCATATTGTACTCGGCTGCTGTGTGGCACCAGCATTGAGGGCTCCTGAGGGCTCCTGAATCAAGAACAAAGAACTGGGAATGCCGGCGCCTTTAAGCATGGCTCCCATCTGTAGTGAGGCCCAGGTGCCACAGAGCTGAGCAGAAAATTAAGCGGAGTTCCCATGGCTGACCCCAGAGCAGAGCCAGGTATTCCCAGAGCTCCACCCGGCGCCCCAGTCGTGCTCTCACCAGGCAAAACGCTAGGGAATTGGATTTAGGCTGTGAGGCATTTGCAAGCTATTTTGCAGATAAAGTCTTGGCTCTCCGCCGCGACCTCCCCACCACAATTGATACAGTTAGGGAACTTGAGGCCCCTTGCGGGTCTTTGGTGCCGGGTTTAGTGAGTTTTGACCTACTCAGCCTGGAGGAAGCTAACAGGCTACTTGTATCAGTGTGCCCAACCACATGCGACCTGGATCTGTGCCCCTCCTGGCTTATTAAAGCTGGCCACAAGGGGTTTCGAGGTGCACTGCAGGAGATTGTCAACAAGTCCCTCACAGAGGGACGGTTCCCCGGAGCACTCAAGGAAGCAATGGTCCGCCCTCTCTTGAAAAAACCATCTTTGAACCCAGCCGAATTGGCCAACTATCAGCCAGTTTCCAATTTGCCCTATTTGGGCAAACTCATTGAGAGGGTGGTGGCGTCACAGCTACAGGGTTACCTGGATGAGGCTTCCATCCTCGATCCCTTCCAGTCCGGTTTTCGCCCAGGTCACGGGACGGAGACAGTGCTGGTCTCTCTGACGGACAATCTCCGTAGGCATCTGGATCGAGGTGGTGTGGTGGCACTGGTGTTGTTAGATCTGTGGGCTGCATTTGACATGGTTGACCACCAGCTGCTGGTCCGCCGCTTCACTGACGTGGGGATTCAGGGGCTTGCTCTTCATTGGTTTGCCTCTTTTCTCCAAGGTTGGGGACAGAGGGTGGCGATTGGGGACCAGCGGTCCCGAAGGCACTCCCTTGAGTGTGGGGTGCCCCAGGGAGCTGTGTTGTCCCCTATGTTGTTTAACATCTATATGCGCCCCCTCGCCCAGATTGCCCGGAGGTGTGGGCTTGGGTGTCATCAATATGCTGATGATACCCAGCTCTATCTGATGCTAGGCGGCCAGTCGGACTCTGATCCCAATGACCTTCATCGGGCATTACAAGCTGTGGCTGGTTGGCTCAGACTGAGTAGGTTGAAATTAAACCCGGCAAAGACGGAGATCCTGGGCCTGAGTCGGACCGGTTTGGGGTTGGGGCTCCCGGCCTTTGGCGGGGTGCCGTTGGTGCCTGCGCGGGAGGTTAGGCGTTTGGGGGTGCTCCTGGACCCCTCGTTACCGATGGAGGCCCAGGTGGCAACCACTGCCAAGGTGGCCTTTTACCATCTGCGGCTGGCTCAGCAGTTGGTCCCCTACCTTGACCGTGATGACCTGGCCACTGTGATCCATGCGACGGTTACCTTGAGGCTGGACTACTGTAACGCTCTCTACTTAGGGCTGCCTCTGTCGCAAA